CGATGAGATAACAACGTCAAACTGCTGATCTGAAGTATGAAGACAGTTTTGGCATATGTACAGAATCAAAAATCACCAATTTTATTAAAGTCAAATGCCGTTAACGTTCGATTCCATGTGAGATATAGGGCCTGAATAGAATCCCACGTTGTGATACGAATGACGAACATTGTGTAAAACTCTTCATCATCTACAAATACTCAACTGTCGAACTGCGGATGGCAAATGTACAGAATGAAAAATGACTAATTTTACTAGTCAATGCCACTGACGTTCCATGTGAGATACAGGGCCTCAGGAGAGTCCAAAGTTGTGATACGAACGAAGAACATCGTGTAAAACAGACTCTTATCTATCTACATAGTCAACCGTCAATCTGCGGAACTGCTGCCGCGGCGCCGGCTGCTCTGTAAGAATGATTCACCGGAGAAGAGACGTTTGATTCAGATTGATATTCCTCGCCTATCAGACTAGCGGGCTCGACTCTAAAACAAATAAGCCGCGTGTCAAACGGCCCGTTCTTGGACGTTGCCGGCAATTTACTCTGTAATTACAGGGGGTGTACGGCTGGGATTCCAATTTACCTTATCTGCAGCGCCATCAGGGAGAGAGGGCGGCCTTTTCATTCGCGTCACATCGCCAGTATTTCATGTGTGTGTGTGTGTCTTGTCGTCCTAAAGTGCTTTACCGCTAGTTTTATGCTAACATCAACCGTTTTCAAGGGCCGTAAAGCGTTTTGTGCGCGGCCCATCGATGGAAAACCATCGGCGTTTGCGTTTAAATAACCCCCGGCTAATGATCGGCTTGTGAAACGGGGTTTTCGGTTGTCAGCAGGGCAGACGAGATTGATTCATAAAAACACGAAGAAAAAAGTTCTGCTAGGAGCAGCGATCGATGCCTGTATTGATGAACAAATGAAGGAATGAAAGAATGAAAACTAACCTTGCATTATTGATTTCGAAACCGACTTCTTTGTGAAACTTAGACAGTAACATAACACACCAACAATCAGATACAAGTAGAGCATGACTATCTGCTATCTCGCTAATTACGTGATTTTTTTAAGTCGTGAAATACAACCCTTCCTCACTGCCTGCCAGTAATTCACAGATAACTTGCTTTATAACCTTTCAGAAAACTCCCTTTGTGACGAAATTCGGCTGCAGGATCCTCAGAGGTAAAACTAACGGTTTTCCCAGAGTGCTTTCAAGGTGATTGGATGGCCCCGGCAACAGGAGGACGTCCGCGCAAGCTGTGGGTTGTGACGGAGGAGCCCCGCTACTGCCATCCGTCATAACTCCTTTGTGCAGACGGCAGCCGCTCGGACACTGCATGAGGTTAGGGAGGTTACTCCGTTGAAAGCGCGATCAGTCAAGGCGAGTTTTATTAAACCTGGCCGCTTCGAGTCTTGTCGATCGACGAAGCGGCGAATCTGATGGCAGCAATTTCGTATTGTTGCTGTGCTGCCAAGGCCGTTACGCGGTGTGAGCGAGCGGCTTTACGTGCAGAAACTATGAAATGATATCGCAGGAAACTGGAAATGTTTACATATACGGTGTAAGCGTTTAATTCATATATTTAGAAATCCAATTTAGACGTATAAAACCTATTGCTAAAGATACGTATATCTATATTGTTAATGGAAATTCTTCTTAAATTTCTTCAATCAAAATTGTAATTATTTCTTTTATTGGCATCTCTCTATTGAGTTAGGATTCTGTAACGGTAAAGTTTTTAATTAAAATTCTAATCATTTCTTTTGTTGACATTCCTGTTTTAAATTAGATTTCCAGCAGTTTTACCAGGATAGATTTATTTTCCAAACAAGTGTATGTCTTGCTGGCTGCCAGTCCGCTCAGTCACGTTGCTCTAAGCATGGTTGCAGTTGGATTACCGTAATTTAATGGCGAAAACTGGTCAGGAAAACTGGGACAAGGGAATGAAATTAACGGAAGTGAATAAGCCTGGTATCATTCTACAGGTAATCAGTTAAAGGGTTCGTAGAGGGAAAAAAGTTTTCGAAAAAATGGGTCATTCTGATGAAAGTAAGGCCAACCAAAAAAAGTAAAATAAAACGACTAGAGTAGCGCATTGTTTCTAAGAATACAGCACATACCATCAGACAATATCCATTACCATATATTTACAACTAGCCCTTGGATCTGATTCTGCAGTAATTCATCATAATAAAAGAGTGGTTCTCCCAGACGTTTTGATGGCACCCTAACCACCGTAAGATGTATTTGAAGTCGGCCCGTTGCGTACCAGACATATATGGACATCGGAGATGATAGACTGTACCGCCACAGGCTTTCAGCCGGACGCAGCGGACCGGACACCCGGGAAGCTATCAGAAGGCGAGTGGGCGGACACACCAGACTAACCCCGAAAAACAATATAAAATTGAAGAGGCATCTATCGCGTGAGGCACGGCAGTAGACTGCAGAGATGTCTCCGCCACAGACATTTTTCTGATTAAGTATTTTCTATTTCCTATTGCATCTCACGTCGCCTCATGTTTTTCACATGGTAGAAACAAGAGCTGTATCTAATTAAAACAAACAATAAGAAACAATAATGTTTAAGCCGGTTGCTGAGAAGAAATTGAAGAATGTTACAACGTTTCCCTGGTTGCTACTGTATTCTGATACCTCCTGCTGTCCACTCAGTTGTAGGATACCGGAGCTATATTTAATTAGAACAAACAATAAGAAAATAATAATGGCGTGGGATGGTGTGGCGTAATGGTTGACCTAGAATCGAACAACATGCCCCGATGTTGTGTCCTGGGGAAAGGCACTTCCCTCACTCGGGTGAAAATGAGTACCTAACTTTGGTTGGGGACATCCTTCGGATAGGGCGTTAAATGGAGGTCTAGTGTTTGGAGAGAGCCACGCCTCGCGCACGTTAAAGAACCCATCACACCTTTTAAAAAAGGCATGTCCTGGTGTGCGATGCATAGTCCAAATACTGTTATCTGGAAGTTGGTGATTCTATTAGCCACACTGTGATTTACATGTACATCATCACCCATGCGGGCTCCAGGAAGAATAACGTGAAAGTTATGTAACACTAATGGAGATCCTAATAAAACAAACATTTCCATTTTTAGGCAGTTGCTGAGATTAAACTTAAAAAATGTTACAACGTTTCACCGTTTTCTTTTATCTGGCACGGAGCAATTTTACCATGGAGGTAGAAAAATCATATTTTTACCTCCATGATTTTACTAAGTATTTGGGTGTCAACAAGAAATAGCTACGAGTTTCTAGCCCAGCTGCTTGGAGACTAGGAAAAAGATCGTAACGTAAAAAACGTAACGTAAATTCAGCGACCACCCGTACGGCCTGCTCAGTAGGCTAGCGGCGTGTTCATCACACACGGCACGAGCCGTGAGGGAACGTTCACGCCATTTTTCAGACCAATTAACGTTTTTGCCGGGTCAATGGGGTCCATCGATTCCGCAGCGATGCCGCCAACAGAACGAAACATTACGGTCCGTCGTACATTGATTTCCGCGGGTTGCCCAGGCGAATTGATGAGACGGCGGGAAACCTGTTCACCTGTTCTGAGACATTCAAGAACGGACGTCGTGACGGTTTGTTGGAATGAACGTCCTTTGCGTTTCGCTGTGGTCGATGTAAAGAGAAGGGTGGGAATATGTAGTGTTCGTTTGTGACTAAAGCTTCGGACTGGGTCAAGGGCAACCCTTTGCAACCTATAGAATTTGTCCATGTGTGTCTATACAGAGGCGCATATCTCCTGTTCCATAGTGATGGAATAAAAAAAAGACAGGAACTTTTTTGTCACGTATTTTTCACCCGCTCAAGCCCAAAGATTGAAAGCAAGTACATTAGAAAGCTAGGACATACTAGTACATTCAAAGGCCGACTTACATCTTGAAATTCCGCCAGACAAAATTGACTGTCGATTGACTACAAGTACAAGGAGAAACTTTCATCTGTTATTAGTGACGATGAATCTTCAGTCACCGCGGAATAAATACGACCCAGACCCAGACAACTGGAACGGTGCAGGATATTGGCAATTACTTGGCAGACTCTTACATAGGCACAGAAGATATACATGACTTGGAATACTTCTCTTCCTGTTCATGGTAGGGCATACTAAAGAAGATACATGTATCCCCCTCCTGGAGGAAGAAGAATGATGGATAAATGCCTCGTGGTGAGCTGGCTTAGCCAGAAGTGCGTATAAACATTAAGAACCACTTAGATTGTCCTTCACGCATGGAGAAACCTCTCGACTCAACCCTCGATTCAACCCTCGATACGATCACAACTACACTGACGGTTACTAGCAAGCGTTTTGGCTAGAAAGGTGAGATCGTGTTGTGATATAAATCGCGTTAACAGAATCGGTGTCTACTGTACTGCAGTTGTACTACTTGAGATAAGACCGTACCCTTCCCAATAGTGTATGGCCGGGAAAACGTACAGTGATGTTTGACCCTCGATACGATCACACCTACATGTACGAGTATATGTACACTGCCGATTACAAGCGGCTAGAAAGGGTGATCGTATTATGATAAATTGTATCGGCAGCATCAGTGGCTACTGTAGTCGTCTAGATAACGTTGTACGAGATGGCAGAAGACCGCACCTTTCCCACTATCGCATGGACGCGAAAACTTACCTTCTGACCCTCGATACGATCACAACTTCACTAACGATTTACAAGCGAACGTTTGGCTAGAAAGGGTGAGATCATGTCATGATAAATCTTGTTAACAGAATCAGTGCCGACGGTACTACGGTAACATCCCTGCACGAGTTGGGAGAAGGCCGTACCTTTTCCAGTATTGTATGGACGCGACAACTTACCTTTTGTTGACCGATCCCAACCACACTGTTGAATTACAAGCGATCATTTGACTAGAAAGGGTGAAATGATGTCGTGGCAAATGATCGTGTTAACAGAATCAGTGCCTACTGCGATATAGCCTATCGGTATAACGAGTTACGAGAAGAGCGTACCTTTCTCGGTACCGCACGGAGGCGAGCAGGCTGAGAATCCCCACCAGCAGCAGCGCGAACCCGCAGACGGCTCTCTGCCTGGTGCTCGCCATGGTAGCTCTCCGCGACCACTGCCAGGAAACAGTAATAGAATATTCACTCCTAAATCAATGTACTGGTTCAATAGTAGTGAGTGAAGAGGTTATCATTTATTTACATCGTGCATCATGCAGCATTACGCCCGAAGCCGCCGGTCTTAAGGAGGGAAGACCGCGGCGTCAATCAACAGGCGTTACCTGGCGCACAGGTACACGTCACACGTCAGGTTAGACACCTCACCTGTTCACGCTGGGAAGAAAATCCTCCCACGGGCGGATCACAGGTGGGGGAACACTAGATCTAGAGCGCCGCGCGCCCGCGGACCGTCTCAACAGAAAGCCTTCTCATAATAGCTTGGAGGCTGCAGCGCTAGAGAGAGAGAGAGACGCCGCGACCTCACGCTCTCTCCTCGGCGGGCAAATTACGCTTCCTTACGTTCTGCCGCGGTGCCTCCTCCTGGCATTCCGCGGAAGACGTTGCCATGGCGACGGGAAATTGCGCGAAGGTGGCGACCACTGATTGTCTGGGGGTCACGAAAAACCCATACTTGCGTCGCGGCAGGGGAGTAAAAAAGTATGCTCAGCAGCAGTTTAAGATTCCTTTACATTGCAGAAAAACTTGGATTTACTAATTGTAATAAATAATAATAATAATTCGGGCAATGTTTACTTTATAAACAGTATACTAGTACTGCACTTTACAATAGTAGTAAATAAACGTCAAGTACGTTGATTCTGGATATTACAAGGGTTGCATTAGCGTAAATACCGTACTTCCATTGTAAAGCCTGGTATTGTGTGCAAAGACAACAACAAATCCAACTTTTCGTGTGAAAGTTTTTTTGTGTGTAAGATGACAGGCTGACATATTGTGGGGTTATACGTCAGCCGAGGGGGGGGGGGCGGAGACAGAACACCATTAGAACGGCGCTCTGATGGCGGGAAGAAAAACAAGGTGTCATGACAGGTTTACCGTGCAGGGGTGTATCATCAAAGTGTCTACTCTACACGGGTCGGCTCGGCCACGTCAAGAGAGGGGGTTTAGACAGCCTGATGTGGAGATGGAGAGTGTTCACATCGATCTAGTGTTATACAGGAGAAAAGTATTCTCTGCTGTGACAAGATTGGCGCTTTTCAGATGATTCTTTGAGAAAAGAAGAACTATACTAAGGGGGACCCTGAGAAATGTAACAGAAACACATTAAGTGTTACATACATATATGATATCGATATTGAATGGAGAGTTCCTTATCGTTGTAGGCCTAGGAGGAGAATAATGCAGTTTTGGTTTGTGAGGTTTATTCCATAAGATTTGGAATTTTGTGGTAAAGTTGTTCACCTCTGATTTACTTATTACTAGTCAACTGCTGTTTTTTTTTAGAAACTTGAATTAAATAACATCTGTCAATCCATTCTCGAGAAGAAAAATCAAGTCGAGAGAACATGAATTCTTCTGGGAAATGAATGAGATAGCTG